TGAAAAATTTAGATGAAACCTGTCAAGTCAACATAGTCTGGAGGATATACGAAGAAATTATGAAAACTCACTGAAGTATCATTTTGTTAAGGTAGTCACTTTTGAATTTCTTTTCATAAATGAATTCAGTTTTATGAACTTCTTCATGCACAACCCCCAAACTAAAGACTTTATTCAGTAGAACAATTTCATGAACTTGAACAGAACTAAGTTTCTTTCTCTGTGACAGTTGCTTTTGAGAGATTTTTCTTGTGAAGCACATATTGCTGCTAGCTGAATATAATGATCCCCTACTATAGAAAAAGTGAAAGAAAGATGGGATTTGGCTGCATTTTAATCTTTAGAAACTTGTGAGTCACGTGTGTGTTAAGAGCAGCAATGAGAACTAATAATATATTAAAATTCCAAAATAAATGTATGTTTTAAAGGTGAAGGCTGCTCTCTCCACACAAGATTCTTAACAATATCTTCTACATTGCTTTAAACCAATATGAATTATCTATAGGACCTGGTTCAACTATAATATATCCAAAGCATACTGTTCTTGTTAAAACAAGAAATATTAAGAAAAAACATGCAAAATGTTGTGGTGGCACATGTCAATAATCCTAGCACTTCAAGAAATACAGAAGTCAAGGCCAGTCTGAGATAGGTAAAAGAGACTCTATCTATAAAAATAAATATAAAATAAAAAAGTATATCTAACTGTCTAATATTAAGTCAACCAAAATCATAAGCTTATATGAATGTTGAAATAACCAGAAATCTGAAACTGTCATTGTTAGTGACCAATTCAGAGGATTTTTCAGAGGTTAATTGTCAGAACAATTTATTCAGAGATTAATAACTAAAACTGTGATTTTTTTATGTTCACTAACAATGCAGCATTTATGATGCTCCATACATTGAATTTTCATATTCACATCAGGAATGCCATGTTCATATTGTGTAATTCTAAAATGGCAAATGCAATGTTCACATTCATCTGTAATCACTGAGACAGAAGAGAGGACCTTGCTGGACTCTGACTCCATTTCCCATTTTCCAAGCCAAATAGCACATGTACAGCCAGACTAAAGAGAATATATCTATCATTTAAAGTATTTTCATAATAGCTCCTTGGCTATTTCATGTTCCCTCTTTTATAATCTGCTTCCTCCCTTTCAAAGTCTTGTACTTCCATTCCCTTAAACACGTTTCATAATAGCTGATCAGATCACACATTGAAGTCCTTGGTTATGTGCCACTCTTGTGGGAAATTGCCTCTGAGCTATCCTAATGCAATTAAACAAAGATAATCTTTACTACCCCTCATAGCCTCTACACTTTTTTCCAGGACAATGTGTTTGGAGTCCCCTTGGTCATGCTCACTGTTTGAGGTCCTCGGGGTTAAGGATGTTATCATATCCCAGCTTTGATTTTTTACGGTGAAAGATTCAAAAGAAAATAAGCAAAGAAAATGTGCATGGGCTCAAGTTCATAGGAATCAGCAGTAAGCTTCCAACAAAGCTGCACACAGTTCCCCAGGAAATATTCCATCTCTAAAACAGAGGTGATAATGGCACCAGTGCAGTTTTATCTACCAGGGAAACTCACTATAGACTTGTGGTCTAGAGCTTTCCTGGGGTGGTCCTCTGGTCATACATCTTCCTCACTCATGCAAATAGGTCAGTCTCCCCAAAAGAAGTCATGCGCTTAGGAGAAGCCACATGCTTTGCAGTTCCAGTGAACTTGTGAAATCCATGAGCAGGACTGCATTCTACCTCTGAAGTCCAAGTTCTCAGATGACAACAGCAACCAAACTTTCCAGTAGGCCTTTCAGACTCTCAGACCTGTTAACTCTTTAGGGTACATGCTGTTGTAGAGTTCATATTGTATGTGTGTAGAGTGTATATATACACATGTATACAGAGTATGCACATTGTGTGTATTCTGTGTGTGTACAGATATTGTACACACATTTTATGCTTATATCCACAGTATTATCATATATTTTTCTCTCATTTCTTTCCTTTGAGCTCACTGAAGATTCAGCATATTTTTTATTGCTTCACTATTTTAACATAGAACAAGAGAAACAGTAGGAACTGTTGATTGGAAGGTCTTGTTTGTTCAGTAAGGAATGAGAAGACCAGGGAGGAGAGCAGACCTAAGGACACATGGCAAGTTTTGTTATCTTGTCCTGGAAGGTGTTCTTACAACATCCTGAAACAGCCCTGTATCAAGGGATGGAGTTTACCACAAACTAGAAAAAGGGAAAGAAGACAGCTAGTGTGAGTTATGCTAATGCTGGCCTAAAAACATTTATTATTGCTGAATATAAAACATTTGAGGTTACAGGAATATACAGTATTTTCAATGTCTATCTTAATCTTATCACTGTCTATTTTTTCTGGTTCAACTATAAAAAGTGCTTACATTAACAATGCAGTCTCAAAATCATTTGCCCAATGAGAGATTCATAGGTGGTTCATTAATGCCCTTATTGAGGTCTAAATATTTGGAGGCCCACAGTTAGAATAGCTGATACTTACACATGGCTTAACTATTTTTCAAGAACCTTAGCAAGATATGCACATTGCTGCTCTTTCTCTTTTTGTAGATAAGACTATAAAGGAAATTTAATAACCCTTATTAACATGTGCTCCTCTATCCATGTTCTCTATGACTCCGTTATACTGATTCACATACCCTTGAAAATTACAATAGCTTCATATAAGATCATTTTGACAATCTTAAAGGATAAAAATTTTGTTCCAGTTTTGACATTTTCTTTTCCATCATGTGAAAAGGAAAGAATTCAAATATTTATAGGTTTTGCCATTTCATACTCAGTAGTCGTCAGGGTTATTGAAGAGTTTATCATCCTTTTGACTATCATCTTGACTCAAATACAAGGGGAGTTGCATTGGGCTAATTTAGATTCATGGAAATCTACCAGGATTTGGTATCAAACTTCTCCGTGATACAACTAAGGTACCAGAGAAAAGATTTTTATTAATCCCCAAACAGAATGACAGGGAATCCTTAAAAAGTCAGAGATGAGAAGTGAGACTTGTGATTTTATATCCTTTATAAAGGAATTATTTAAAAGCCTGAAATTGTAAACACATTACATTTTTTTCAAACATCAGTTTGGTAAGAGGATATATTTGAGCTACTAGATTGTGGCTACTTAGTATGGTAGCAGAGCTGCCAACCCCTTGACTAGCTTTTAAGTTGTTACTTGCTCAAAATTAATCTGTTCAGAAAGATGTCACTATTTCCTGACTCTGAATGGGCTTTCTCCTATGAGATTTGGATGACAGGCATTTAGAAGATGGTTTGTTAATAAAAAAGTAGGTGAAGAAATCCTTCTTATGACTAGCTTTGTCATGGGGGAGTAGTGTCTCAGGGAGTTTATGTGACTGCCCCAGGAAACAAAAGAGCAGAGACTTGAAGATCCCAAAGTGTTCTCAACCAGAAAGGCACATTCCCTCTCAAATATTTCTGGAGTAATTCTACTTTGAATGTAATTCAAAGCACTCAGTGATATTCCATCATATTTTTATTACTATAACAAATACCAGAGACAATACTGCTTTCCAGAGAAAAGATTGTTCTGAACCACAAGTTTGGAGTCTTAAGTCAATGACTAGGAACTTATATTGCTTTTAGACTTCTGATGGGGCAGGAAGAGGGGGAGCAGAGCACAGTGAGACTACTGCCCTCACCAGCAGCACCCTTAAGGGGCATTCACGAAATAATCTACCACTAAAATGCACCACGGTTCTACTATTTCTCAGAGTATCAAGCCAGCCACACATAGGCCATTGGGTAGCACTTAATCTTCAACTACACCAGTTTTGAGTCCTGCATGTTTTTCAAGGAAGCATATGAGTGTTTGTGTTCTGAATCATCTTTCAAAGGATGCTACCCAGGCATCCTAGATAGTTGATAGCATTTCAACACAGAGGTCCTTACAGAGAAATGGGTAAGGTTGGGGATACACTCCTGGAAGCACCCTGTACATATGTACATGTCATCTATCTATAAGGTTTGTCCTCAGGAAGCCAGCTGAAGAGAATGATGACACTCTGGAACTCCTACTTATTAACGAAGTAGCCATTTGCTTCTGGAAATTAAGCAGAAAGTACAGCTTCTCTGAATGGGAAGCTGGAGTTGGCATAAAGGCTAGTGTTTGTTACTAATTTCTGGAGTCACCATGAGAATCTAATGGGAAATTACTAATACAGAATTGAGACTGGGAATGTGAAAGGTCCCTGGCCAGTGAAAGGCCCTGAAATAGAATTTACCCTCATGAAAATCCATCTTGCTCCTGACAGTGTCTTGAAAAACCAGGGTTCCCATTTGGAAAAATGGCCATACATTATATTTTACTGCCTAGGCACCATATCTCCACATGTCATTTTAAATAATGGCAAGTTAATGGTTTCAAACTAGTAAAAATTCTACAATATTTGTACAGATTCATAATAATTTCCTGACTCTGTTTCCTGGTGTGGACATACAGTTGGCCTAGGGAGTATTTTGATTTTTATCCATCGATTCTGTAAAGCAAATATGGGCACACTAAAGTTTTATGAAATTGATTTCTAAATGTTATGCAGTTAAAAGTGAGTGCATCTCAGTGAGGTTGACACTGAATCTTGAAATTTTAAATTCATGGGAACAGTGCCGTGATTGTTGATTCTTCTGACTTGTGTGTGTGTTGTCCCTGTGGTGTTTGAAGTGGAGGGAAAAGCAGCCACAGTTTCCAGTACACCTCTGAAAGTAGAAAATTACCTTCTGTATCAAGAGCAAAGTGGAAAAACAACATAGCTGATTGTATAAATGTATGATGTTTCCAGCAGCAAAAGTGCAAGACAGTTCCAACTATCAATAACTCATATTTGAGTATTTCTAATGCATAACAATTATAGGTTAAATGTTATCAATATTTGTCGAAGTCATGAAACACAGAAATAAAAAAAATGAGAACATGGAGAGATTTCACCTACTTTTGATATGTTACTTGATCGACTTGCAGAGCGCCCTGGGGACTTTTCATTCTGAAAAATGAAATTAGAAGCACTGATTAAAGGAAAGCGTAGTCCAAATTTTCATCACCAAGAGGAAACATAGGTTTGTGAATATTCTCAATATTTTGATGGATGGACCCAGAAAGAGCTTGTGTAAAATGACTTTTATCAGATTGAGTTTCTCTGATATATAGCAGTACACAGTTAATATATTCTAATTATATTCAGAGTAGCAACTAAACTAGCAATATTTGTTTACATGAAATTATTCTTTCTACAAAAAAAGCTACTATGGAATCTCCTTGCAAATTAGGCAATGGAAGTACAACCCAAATTATGAGTGAATTCTAGTTTCGAGGCCAACAAACACCCTGTGCTAGATGTGTGGTTGGAAACCTTCAACTCATGTTCTTGGGAAACACATTTTATTGGTCTTCTCTGTCATTTGGCATGCCTGTAAGCACTTGCTCTTTACAATTTAAAATGCTCTCAGTTATGTATCATGATTTAAAACTTAAACATATTTTAAAAATGTATACCCTCCTATTGCCTCTTAGACAATGCTGTTTAGAAGAGAAGCCTCACCAAAAGTACCTTTGAATGACATTTTTTATAGCATGAAATTTTAAAGTACAAAGTGACCTTAAGGATCTCAGCTTCCTAGTATAAAGGCAAGAGATTCTTTTCCAGGCAACTAAGGACTTAGTGTCTAAGTCACGGTTGGCCCTGAACTTCTGACTGCGGCTTTCGGTTTGCTATTTCTATGCTAATTATCTGTTGGAGGATAAACAAGTGGGAAACCAGAGTTTGTGTGCAGACATATAGCATGTAGAGAGTATTCAACTTAATGATGTCTTCTTGACAGGAACCCATAGCAGCTGTGTTACCCACAGAACAAGCCAGTCAAAAGTCCTGCATAGATTGAGGATATGCTCTCCAGGTCCCAACATGTACTAAGTTGGCAGTATGTGCTGTTGGGGAAGGTAGAATCATTCTGTTTGAGGATGTGGCCTCTGCTGGTTTTTCCATCTCACAGAGAAAGGTCCCAGGGCAACGCCATGTGCTTGACATTTCCCATGACGAAGACTCATGGTGGCAGATGTGCTATGGTGGAGAAACAGGCTACAGCTATTGAAATTGTAGCTATGTCTTATGCAGATATTTCAGACGAACATGTGACATCCATCTCCTTTAACTATGTTATTACAGACTGAGGAGTATGTTATTACAGACTGAGACGAGTCACGAAGATGTGATTAGTCACACCTCATAACAGCCTGGGATCCAGCCTGTGATGAACGTGCATGGTGCCCACAGATGTGTTCCCCTGATTAGCTTCTGGTGATGGAGAATGGTGCTTTGCTCCTGACAGTTCAACTCGTCTTCCAGACACTAGTTAACAAAAATCAATCCATCATCCTTTCCCAGTGAAATCCAGAGTTTTGACACATTATTATGTGGAACAGAGGCAAATAAACTATAGAAAATAATGGACTTTAGGGGGATGCTTATAGTAGTGAGAGTGGTTTCTGTTTGCCCATTCTTCATTCATATCGCATTTGAGAGTGTGGGTAAGGAGTGGTAAATGAAACTGATACACCAAGAACAGAAAATGTAATGTAACATGTGTCCTTAACTATTCAAACTGAATAAGCCTTGGTGCTAGATGGAAATAAAACAGAGAGGGTCAATTCAGTTTCCAGTGGAGAACAGTTCGCCACAGGGATGGGTATATATATACTCTGTGGCCACAGCCTCTACTCAAGGAAAGAAAGCATCCATATGATAGATTGATACCTCAGAGATCTTACAGCAAAGTCCCCTGACCTCTGGCTCTTAAAATCTTTTCACCCTGTCTTCTACGGTGTTCCCATACCAAATGGTCACCCCTGAAATGTACTTTTGATAACACTATACAGACTAATAATTTTATATTTAAGAATATGTTTTTATTTATATATAAACTTAAATACAAGTTTATATTTAAGAATATATACATATATATGAATGTATCTAAGAATACACATAGCAACAATTAACAAAAAAGGCATGGATTTGAAAGGGAGCAAGGAGAGGCATATGGCAGGGAGAGATGAGAAATGAAGGGAGAAATGATGTACTTAAAATCTCAAAAATAAAATAAAAAAATTTAATTTTCTCTACCCATGTTAGTAAGGGATATTGGTTTCTTGCTGTGGAAGGAAAACATCAGAAGGACTTTCTCTCGTGAAAAACTTCCAAAGCAATCTGTCCAATTTGCTGCTAATTAATTGGGTGGCTAGTTCTGTTACTATTGAAAGACATATTCTATTTTTTCATAGATTAGTCAATATGGTTGTCATATCTCATTATGATTAGTTTAAGTTCTTTATATGAGATCGAATATAAGGTCCGAATCTAATACATCTTGCTGCTACTCAAATTACAGTGAACTTTAGGCCAGGAGAACTTGAAAGCAACTAAGTTTCTGTCTAGTTTGTATGATATCTTGATTGTACACATAAAGTCTATCTGAAGGTCAGAAAATGACTCTAGCTAAGTGTAGAGGCCTGGAGGTCTGTACAGACATACAGGAAGTGAGGTAGCTTGCAGAAACAGGACATAGCAGGGTGAAACAGGAACTTGCTCTCTTGTCTGCTGAGACGCTAAGCAGGTGAAGTGTGGCAGTGTCTTGCTCCTTCTCTCTGATCTCTCAGGATTTTCTTCTATATTTGACTTCTGGTTTTCATTATGTAGACCAACGGAGTACTCCATTTACAAGTAATGCTGGATCTTAGCATCATTCCCACACATGGAGCGAAACTCAGAGTTTCAAAGTCGTATTTTTAAGATCTTTCAAAAAGTGTTTGTTTGGTCAAGAATATATCTGACACGATTAGTTTTGTCATTAATTTACTGAATTGTCTTCCAAGCTCATCCTTACTAACAAGAATAGGATTTGTACGTGTTGTATATGTAGGTGTGGACTTGTATGTCCAAGTGTATATTCACCTAAGTGTGTATGGTGGAAGCCGGGTGTGGACTTCGAGTTTCTTCTCTCCTTCTCTCCACTTTATTCCCCAGAGACAGCTGCTCTCATGGAATCTGGAGGTTACTGTTTTAGCTGGAATGGTCATTTAGGGAGCCCCCAGTATCTGCTGTATTCATCTCTACTCCCCAGTGCTGGGATTACAGTCATCACCAACAGACCCATTTTTTAAAAAGTTTGTTTATTCTATGTGTTTTACATATCCCGTATTTTGATCCCATTCATTCCCCACGCCATCGCATCTGCCCACCACCCCTGCAACCCCACTCCCCAGAATAAAACAATTCAAGAGAATAAAATGAAGAAAACAAAATGTGAAAAAGAAAGGGAAGGAATTAAAAATCTTGTCAGGGAAGCTGCAGTGTGGCCCTTTGTCCATCTCTGCTTTCAAGGGTTCATCGCAAAGAGCCACTGGTCTGATTCAAGGCCCCTTGTCTCTATTGCATGTTTAATGCTGGGCCCCCAATAAGATGTCTTCCTGGACATCCTGCTGGCTCCCTGTGTTGTTGAAATCCTGCAGCTTTGGGTCTTCACATGTTCCAGCAGATTAGAGGTGAGGTGGATGCTGGGGCAGCCAAGTCATCATCTTAGGCCTGGTCGTGGGCCTGGGCAACCATAGTATTGGTCCACCAGATGGGAAATGGGGAAAACTCTCCCATGGTCACAATTTCAGGGCTGGCTCACCTAGACCTGTCCTAACAGTTTTGGCTCTGTTGTGCTGCCCTGGAGAGATGCAGGGCCTTCTCTTCCCAGTGTTGCAGCTTATGGGGCTCAGGGATGGCTCTCCCACACTTATGACCACAGGACCAGCTCTCCCTTCTGTCTCCTGTTGATGGCAGAAGACTAGTCATGGAGGAGGGAAGTTCTCCCTTGCCCCTGTTGCCTTAACAAAGATGTATAGGCAATAGGGACAGCTCTCTTATGTTCACAGCTCAGGCCCAGTTTTTAAGTTAGTGCTGTGGATCCAAACTCAGGCCTTCAAACTTGTAAAAGTGCTTTACTTACTGTACTATATATAATGCAGTCAATATAGGATATTTTTGAAAAGGGCTGTATAAGTTTTAACAGTTGTATGTCTACTTTCTCTGATTAAAAAACAGTCTACCTGTAAAAAAAAAAAGTGCTGCCATGGCAATGGTGTCTCTTCACAGTGCTAAAACCCTAGCTAAGACACATACATAAGTAAATAAAGAAATGTGTTTTACTGAACTGAACTCCTGGAAACCAGTTGCAGAGAGGGAGGAGTAATGAGCAAAGGGGTCAAGACTGGGCAGGTGAAACCCACAGAAACAGCTGACCTGAACAAGGGGGAGCTCATGAACCCAAGACTGATGGCTGAGAGGCCAGCATGGGACTGATCCAGACCCCCCTGAACATGGGTGTAGTGAGGAGGCCTCGGAATTCTTTGGGGCCTTGGGCACTAGATCATTATGTATCTCTGGCATCTAAATGGACTTTGGAAGCTCATTTCACATGGAGGGATGCCCTCTTGGCCTGGACACATGGGGGAGGGCCTAGGCCCTGTCCTCCATGATATGACAGACTTTGGAGATCCCCATGAAGGGCCTCACCCTCTCTGGAAAGTGGAGTGGGGATTGGATGAGGGGTTGAGGGGATGGTGGTGATGGGGGAGGAGGGCAGTGAGAGGGAGCTGGGATTGACATGTGAAGCAAGCTTGTTTCCAATTTAAATAAAAAACAAAAAAGAAAAAGAAATGTGTTTTAAAATGTGTATTAAAGAGAAATTAAAAGCTGAAGCACCAAGAAAGTAGACTGAGCTAATCTCATGGGAATCAGTGATATGCTGTTCTTTTCTCCAATCTCGCCCAAGAGTAAGGATCAAGACTGAAGGAAAGGAGTAAGAAATGAAGCAAGCTGGAAGGGTGTCTGAGGAACTCAGTAGGTCTATTTTTACTAAGGTACCTAAGTCTTGTAATAAATACTTACAACTGAGACTTGTAGACAAAAGTTATGTGAAACAAACCACAGCTCCAAGACACTGA